GTCCCGCCGTCGCGGGGCCTACTGATCGGCGAAGGAGGGTGCCCTCTGGCCCCAAGCATGGCTCCGATTGCCGGAGGGTCTGAGTGGAAGAGGCCAGCCTCGCCAGTGCACCTGTGCCTCCGTGGGACCAGAGAGGCGAAGGGACAGCACACAGCAAATCAGAGCTGAGAGGGGCCACCCTGGCCATAGCAGCCTTCTTGCCACCCCCACTCCGGTGTCCCCCTGCCAAGGTCCTTCCCACTCTGCCCTCGGCTCTCAAATCCATCGAGGACACCCCCACTGACTGCAGCCCAGAGGTGCTTCTCTGACGGGGCCAGCTCCTAGCACCAGCAGCAAGATACGAGGAGGAGACCGAGGTCGACGTAACCCAAGGAAGGACTTCCCGGGACTCAGGGCCGTCCACACAGGGCACGAGCCGCCGGAGGAGGTGATGCGACCTGTGACTGGCAGGTCACCGAGGTGGCACGAGCTGTGACGTGGGGCCTGGCGTGAGCCCCAGACCTGGTGGGCAGGCACCCCATCAGCGTTTATCTTATCTCTGCCCGCTGGAGGTGGTGAGCATCCTGTCCCTCGGGGCATTTAAGCAATGGCTACGGGACCGCTTTGCAGGAGGCGCCAGGATCCGTGAACTCTGCGTTTCTGCCACAGGGCACCGGCACAGCGCAGGCACCGACGGGCAAGCAGGACGCCTACTCACCCTGAGGTGGCCCAGGTGCATGCGGGCCCGCTCGCACATGTGCAGGAAGTACTTGACGTTGCTCTCGTCCACGATGATGTACACGGCCACCTTCCTCTTGAAGCCGGCGTCCAGCAGGTCCTTGAAGATGTCCACGTCGGTGAACATGTCCATGACCACAGCGATCACCTGCGCAGGGAGAGCCGGGCCTGTCAGCGCGGAGCGGGGCCCGGGGCGCCTCGGCAGGACACACAGTCCGCGCACGCCACCACCCCCCCGGGGTGGCCACTCCAGCCCTGCTTCCTGGCAGCCTAAGGCAGCCCCAGGGAAGCCCCAGGGTCAGGACTCGATCCCGATTCAGAGATTCCTGATGGCATCGAGGCTGGTCTCCGTGGGGCAGGAGAGAGCATGGAGTGCAGTTGGCTACTGCGGGGTGTAGGGGTGCAGAAGGAGGAGCCCGAGGGTTCGGCGGCTCTAGGGCTAAAGTGCACCTGGGACGGGGCAGGGGGTGTAGACAGCCAGGGCAGCCCAGGCAGCCTCCTGTCCCGTCCTTCACTCATCTCGAGCTCCCACGAGCACTCAGGAGGGCCCCAGGAGGCCCTGCAGGCCCAGCGAGGGGCTCAGCACAGGGGCCGTGTGAGGGTCCAGCTCTGAGCCGGGGTGGCTGCACTGACCCAGGATACCAAGATGAACCAGATGTGCCCACAGCTGGGAGGACAGCTGCCCACCCAGGGCTCCTTGCCACCCCTGCTGTCTGGTCTGGACAGAGCCCAAACCAGCACGTGCCCGCTACCTGTCACCTGACAGCGTATGTCCCCACGACAGCTGGCCTGCAGCCCCTGGACCTAGCTCAGGGCAAGGCTCAGAGGCCAGGGTACATCCACCACCCCAGCCCAGCCCAGCCCAGCCGCCCAGCACAGCTCCCAGCGGGGTGGAAGGCTGGGTTGGTAAAGGCATGGGGCAGGATGGGGCCGGGGTCTCGACCCGTCTCCTTCCTGTCTGTGCACTGGACGGTGGGAGGAGGGTCTGGCAGGGCCTGTGCCTGACCAGCTGTCCAACACTGCTACCCTGACACAGCTCTCTGGACCCTCTGGGGCTGGTGCCACCTCCCTCAGGTCTGAGAACCGCCTGGAGCAGCCCTGCACAGAGAGGCCAGGGACATGGCCTAGGCCACACAGCACGCTGCAGCCAGACCCGCCAGGCTGAGCTTACCCCGCTGCCCCCGCCTTGAGGGCGACCTGGCAGGGCCCCCTCCCTGGGATCCAGTGATGGGAAGCAGCTGGCAGCGTACTGGGGACATGCCCGCACACCCCAGTGAGCTCACCAGACCGGCCCCTGCAGGCCCTGCTGGGCTCCTCCTGGGCCTCGGGGCCCCGCTGATGCCCTCTGCTCGGTTGGCACCAAAGCCAAACTCCTGTGAGGGGAGGGCGCCACACCTGCCCTGCCCACTCTCCCAGCGCCACGGGCTGCACGCAAGGAGCGGCCCACGACACGCACCCTCTCCCCACGGTCGCCCACCCATGACGGCGCAGGCTGTGTGGGGCGACTCGGCCTGCTGCCGAGCACACTGAGGCTCAGTGAGGTCGTATGGCTGGCCAGAGGTCATGGGGCACCAGGGCACGGGGACAGGCCGGGGTTGGTGCCAGCCCCTCTCCTGCATGTGAATTCTCGAGACCCCAGGAGACGCTGGGCCACCCAGAGAGAGGAGGTGTGGGAGCCAGGGCTCCCTGCTTGCCGGGGCCCGGGGCTCTCACCTTCTGGGGGACAACACTCACTGTCCTCGAGGCTCTGAAGAGCCACTCGGGACAGAGGGCTGTGAGGATGGGGGCGGGGAAGCTGGGGCAGGCCCGGCCCGGGGAGGGGCCTTGAGAGGCAGTGAGTGCCTCCTGCCGAATGTTCAGGGATGGCTGCTTGGGGAGAGCGTGGGCGAGGGCAGGGGGATGCAGGCTTGGGACTGACCCCAGGCTCATAACCAGTCGGGGTGATGAGACCCTGAGCTCAGGGGCAGGGCTGGCAGCCAGGGCTGCCTGGCCTCACCACGCAGCCCAGAGCCACTGTGGCCGGGTCCCTTGGAGGAACTGCACCCGAGTGAACGGCCTCCCGTGTGGCCAGGAGGGCCCTGCCTAGAACCCGGCCCCCCAGTCAGCCAGGGCCAGTTCCAGGTGTACAGGCGGGACCTCCCTGTTTCGGGGCTCAGCGACGTGCCCCTGCAGGACCCGCGCCATGTGCACTGTTCCCCACGCTGCCTTTAGCTGGGCAGGGCGCCCGGCTAGGGACTGGCAGCTTTCAGTGGACCCGCTGGGGCCTGTCCTAGGTGGGTCCCCCATGGCCCTGGGCTGACACGGAGACAGGGTGTGTGGTGCTCCCAGGCCCTGGGCTGACGTAGGGATGTGGAGGGGTGCGTGGCGTGTCCTGGGCTGACGGGGGATGGGGAGGGCTCCGTGGTGTCCTGGGCTGACGTGGGATGTGGAGGGGTGCGTGGCGTGTCCTGGGCTGACGTGGGATGTGGGGGGGTGCGTGCGGTGTCTTGGG